CTCAATATAATTTTCATTATAGAGTATATAAATGAATTGCAATTAATGAGATCCAAACATTTCGTCTTTTGGGAAATCCTTTTTCGCTGGACTTATCAATGCAAATACATTTCCTAAAATGAATGAATTCCCTCTATTATAGGCCATTTCTTACTCCCTCTTCTTTTAATTATAATTTTTACTTTCTCTTTCTTTCCTTCTTTTACCTTTCAAATTTCCCGTGAAGAAACGTGGGAATTAATTCATTTTTGTAAATGTATATTCATTGACAAGTCCAGGAAAAAATTCTTTCCCATAGACGAAATGATTATCTGTATGAGATAGATTGTTCGGATTTAATTAATTGTAATTCACACACACACACACATACACACACACTCCCTCTCTCTCTCTCTCTCTCTCTCTCACACACACACACACACACACATATATATATATATATACGTATATATATATATATATATATATATATAGAGAGAGAGAGAGAGAGAGAGAGAGAGAGAGAGAGAGAGACAGACAGACAGACAGACAGACAAACACCAAGTATTCATCCAAATAAGAATTATGAAAAAGAATTGACAAGTTTTGTCAGTTTATCATTTGATACATTTTGCGTGTCAGTAATAAGGTGTTGATTATTTTCCTCGAAGTTGTCAATAATCTGTCCGAAGTTAATATTTCACAGCTCCCCCCCAATCCCCACGAGGGATCTATGTGGCACAAGGCCGAGTTTACTGTGGGTTCTCCGAGCCCGTAGGCTCAGCCTAAAATATTCCCTTTGAACCCGCATAAACGGGTTCAGGGCCTGTCAACATCCCCTGACGAAGCTTTGCCCTTCGCAAAGACTCGCCCGGGTTCTTCTCTGCTCAAGGCAGAGAGATCAACAGCTGAACAGTTTGGCACTGTTCGAAGTTCATATTGTATTGTTTCTATTCAAATACTTTTAACTTTCGCAGCTATTTTCATGAAACAATCTGGTGTATGCGTACCAGTTAGAAATCTTTTATACGGCATTGGTTCTTGATAATGACTGCGATATTTGAAAGTACTGAAATGCGAAATGATCCACAACTCCGAGTACAATACTCCATACGTCATTCAAAAATCGAAAAAATATATAATAAAATATTAAACAAACACAATGTCGGTTATTTTAATCGAAATTGTTTAAACACACACATACACACGCGCGAGCGCGCGCACACACACACACACACACACACACACATATATATATATATATATATATATATATATATATATAAAGTGAACATTGAAGTCAACACTTAGAGGCGTCGGTTGTTTCATGCTAGACGCAATCGTCAGGCCACCTGACGTCAGGCCTGACGATTCCTTCTAGCGTGAAACAACCTGTAAGTGTTGACTTCAGTGTTCACTGTTATATTTACACACGCTCTCAGATATTGAGCACTTTATCCCATAAATATAGCACACCTTCTAGAATATATTTATTCATATATATATATATATATATATATGAAAAAATTCGCCGGCCAAGCCCCTAGACGACAAGTTAGCCCTTAAAAAAATACGATATGTATAACGGTGAAAGACAATGGGAAGACTGTATTATTGCCGACGCGTTTCATTCAGTGTGGATTATTTCAAGCCAAAAGCGAATGTATTGTTAATAGTTACTTTGTTTTCAATAGTCCACATTGAACGAAACGCGTCGGCTAATATATATATATATATATATATATATATATATATATATATATATATATATATATATATATATAGAGAGAGAGAGAGAGAGAGATAGATAGAGATAGAGATAGGAGGCACGGTGGAGTAATGGATAGCGGCTTGGATTGAGGAATCGGAGAGCCGAGATCGAATTCCAGTGGAATCCATTACATTCACTTACGTGCTAATACCCTTGGGAAATGTATGAATCCTCTTCTCCTCCTTCCAGCTATGGTTAAAATATCAGGACAGACTGGGTTCTATAACCTTGGATGGCAACTGGTCTAGTAGAAGGACAACTCTGAATTCAAAACCTGCGGAGGGTCGTTTGGGGACCCTGTGGCACTTGGTGCACCAGGTCTCTGTATTTGTCCATTCAAAAAGTTGGATGGTCCGGCACGAAACCTTCACCACTATAATCAAATCTCATGTGCTGGTGTCGGGCTGTCGGTTTCCTGGGAACTGATCTGCTTGACCCTCATACGTCGAAATCCACTGGAGAGTCGACTATCTATCTATCTATCTATCGATCTATCTATATATGTGTGTGTGTGTGTATGTGTGTGTGGCGGGGTGTAAAATTCTCTGAATTAATCTGTAGAAAAAGACAATATGTATAAAGGAAAAAAGATAATAGAAAACTATGTAGTTTTAGCCGGCGCGTTTCGTCCAATGTGGACCTTCCAAGGCAAAAAATGAAATTAATTTATTGAAACAAAGTATCTATAAATAAAATGTCATTAGTAACTAGAAGAATCTAGAAAACATTGGGTCAACTGAAAGAATATCTCATTTACTTTTTATGGAAAAACAGAAAATAATATAATATTAAAGAAATATTTTTTGTATTATTGTGTTGACGGATTCAACTGTTTCTATTTGGTTTCTTGATATATTTGTTGTGTATGTTGACTTGGGAGTCGTGATTCTGTTACCAAAGAAGACATTGATTAAAAATCGGGGTGTAGATTAATATTTTGCTAATATTCAATGGCGGCATTCTCGAGGATTTTCATTCTGAGTAAATTATTTTCCTTTTTATGAGTGTAGCATTTTTAAATTCAAAATTGTAGTTTAAATTATTTCTATTTATGACCAGCGCATTTGCCAAATTGCTATATATGTGGTCTTTTTTGGGCTCAGAAATGCGTTTTCTCTAAATTTCTGCAGGTTTCTATTGTGAGGAACAGTTTTGTTAATTTATTTTATTCATGCCAACTTCAGAAATATTATTTTTATAGGTGTCTGTAGATTTGGAAGTTTTTATGATTATTTGCATGCTGTTGAGATGCGCTAAATTGTTCTGGAGAGTCGACGTTACGGTGTTGGTCCGTAGTATTGTGTATCTGTTAGAGTATAATTTACTATTATCAATGATGCTCTCATATATATATATATATATATATATATATATATATATAGTTTATGAAAAACTAGGTAATCTTAGCTGTGGGGAAGTAATTTATTACATGGAACCTTAAAGTGGTCTATTTTTATTTAAAATATATATAATCCTAGCTGTGGTGAAATAATTTATTCCATGGTACCTTAAAGGGGTTGTTTTTTTAATATATATATATATATATATATATATATATATATATATATATATATATATATATATATTCTTACGAACCTCCCCCTTCCTCCAACCCTATCGATAGCCGAGGTCAAGTAGGATCGCATGCTGTTATTTTATTTTATTTTATATTTTTTTCATTTTTAACGTTTTACATTTTACTCAATTTTCGTAAAATATATATTTCTTTCCCAAGGGTCTCTTTCCTATTGATCAGACACGGCCGAGCGGAATCGATTAAGGAACAAACACGATAGGCGACAAACAACTATGGAACGTAAAAATGTGGTAAACGTAAAAAAAATAAAAAAAAAACGGCTAAAACAAAAATGACACTATGTGTCAAAAATGAACATTTAAATATTGTGGACAAAATAGTGGGAGGAGAGCATACTCTAAGATAGGTAAAACAAAAATCAACGTATGGCCTTGTGCCATACTCCCACGAATTTAAAGAACATGTTCTATACTTGCACGAATTTAGAAAACATCAAAATTTTTGAAAGATCTCATGGTAAACTTGCATAAAAGTACAAACATGAAAAAGAAGTACATTTAAACAAAAATTTAGCACTAGAAAAACAACAAACATCTCTTAATAAAAGTTCTTTTCCACTAATCTCCCTTATATCTACTACTTTTCTTTTCTCTTTGCCCTTTTCTATTTCTTTTTATAAGCGTCTCCTTTTGAGGTCTTTCCTTACATCCTTTCTTTCTCTTTTTGTCGTCTAGGGGCTTGGCCGGCGATTAAGCTGAAAAGCTATCCTTCTCTCTTTCGTCTCAGGTGTAGCAGCATTCCCCTTTGAGGTAATCTGTCACTTCTTTCTTTCTTTTCCCTTTCTTCCTTTGTTTAAGGCCTCGGTGACAGTTGAAACTGATTTCTTTCTCCTTCATTTCGGTGTGACATCCTTCAAGATATTTTCTGTTAACCATGTTTGCCGTAGTCTTTGAATATAGAATCCAATGAAGTACGTAATATCTTCAATATCAGAGGTTGGCATTGAAGATTCGGAGAAAGTAGCAGCTGTTAAGTAATTCTTTAAGTCTTCGATATCACAGGTTGGCAGTGAAGATTCGGAGAAAGTAGCAGCTGTTAAGAAATTCTTTAAGTCTTCGATATCAGAGGTTGGCAGTGAAGATATTTTGGGAGAAAAAACAAAATGGCTGCCTTTATACACGTCGGATTGAATATTTTGAGCTTTCTGATTGGTTAACACTTCTCTTGGACTATAAAATGAGTCAGCTCATTTTGGTTGGCTCACTAGTACATGCATTAACTTGGCTAACTTGGCTAACAGTCTAACTCTCTGCCTTCGGGCGGAGAAGAACCCGGACGAGGCTCTGCTAAAGAGCAGAGTCTCATTCGGGGTGGTTGACTGCCCCTGAACCCGTTTATGCGGGTTCAAAGAGGGAATATTTTTGGCCGAGCCTACGAGCTCGGAGATCCCACGTTAAACCCGGCCTTGTGCCACATGGCGGGGAGTAACTAAATATCACTAGTACATACATATATAAAAAAAACTGTAACATTTTCTTCCTCTCTTTTCTTTTCCCATAAATATCTACTTTTGAGATTTTTTCTCGCTTTCTTCTGCCTCTCTTTCACCGCGATGCAGTGGTATTCCGCATATGTCGTCAAACGGATCTATCTATTCCACTCGGAGATGAATTATTTTCTTCCCGTAATTTCGAGAACACATCTTTTCAGCCTGTAGACCTGGACACAACTCTTGTATTTCCCGTAAACACGTCTTCTCAGCCTACAAACCTGGACAAATTTCGCGGACACGTCTTCTCAGTCTTTAGACCTGGACACAACTCTTGTATTTTCCGCAAACACGTCTTTTCAGTCTTTAGACCTGGACAAATTTCGCGAGCTTGTCTTTTTTGCCCGCAGGCCTAGACGAAACTGACTTTTCCGTTTCACTATTCGGTTCCTCTCTTTTCTTGTCACGTGGTCAATTTTCAGATACGAACTTTTTCCCATTATGTGCGAAATGAGGTCATTAACCCCCTCTATCTTCTGCAGGGTCAGAGAAAGTTTAGTTTAAATTGTTTCAACAACTCCTATCCGGAATCTATCCGTGTAAATCATGCTGTCAATACGTTGACCAAAAGAGAAGGGAAGGGTATATTCTAGCTAATCTTTGTCGCCACTAAGTCTACCTATCTCTTTGGGCTTACCGTCTTCACGTCTCTGCACGTACTGGCCTCTTTATTTTAGAATGCTTCTAAAATTTAAGCAACGGTATAATTTTTTATAATAAATTTAGATGTGGATTTGCATATATATATATATAAGTTTTTGTTAGAAAGATTATGTACCTACTATATTGACTAAAATGAGGATTGGAAAAAAGTTACCTAATATTCAATATTGTATATTTATTTATAATATATGAATTATTACAGCGAAGAATTAAAACAATTGGATTTTCAGCGGTTTTTTTTTCTGAGAAAAATCATTCGTTGTTTTCCCTTTTTTTAAAACTTCTTTACTTTAACCGGTTTCGCTTAGGTTTTCATAAAATTTTTAACTTTTTCTATCTCCACGTGTTGATGCATATGTTTGGAGCAAATTAAAAAAAAAGAAATCAAGGGGCGTAATTGACTATATATGTCGTTCATGCCAAAGGGAATTTGGTAGGATATATTTATGCCATGAGTTAAGTATGTGTCCGAAATTGTTGAGGAAAATTTTTTTCTTTCTTAATACACCCTTGTTCAGTGGTTCTGTAGTCGCATTGGCAGAATGGGAAGACACGAATATATATATATATATATATATATATATATGATTATAAATTTACTTATTTAAAAATATGATGCCATCGCTATACAGGAATTACCATATTAAAAAAAAAAGCTAAAAACTTTAATTGTAGAATTAAATTAAATTAAAGTCCTTAGTTCTGTTTCATTTTCAAGCGAATTTTGGAATAACTTATTTTGAAATTTATATAACTTTTATAAGCACATACGTTCATAATATTAGTTTCTATGGATATTTGGAAATCCAGTCATTTTAACAAAGAGCGGTGGGGTATTATTTTTCACTAATATCTATTGTATGCAAAATTATGAGTTATTTTCGAAAAGAGGGTTAGTCAAGGTAGGGTCGGGGTGCCTTTTCAAACGAATGATGACATTCATTCAACGCATGACCTAAATAATGTAGCTAATTAAATGACCCATCTCTTTTGTGCATACATGAGAAACTATATGTTACTAGGTTTATAAAAAATGAAAAATTACTTAATCAAAGAAAAGAAATAGCTATTGTTTGCCGGCATTGTAAAAATGTTTCCTTAAGTAAAAGAAACAAAAAAACTGATAAATGAAATATATGTATTTATATTTGATATTTTAATAATAATTTTTAAATAATTTAAGTAATTTTATTACATTTATTTGTTTTAAAAGATGTATAGTCTATTAATAATTAAAATTAGAATAATATTTTAAAATTGTATTTCAATACGACGTATTCATATACAAACAACCATTTTAGAAAAAAATATTTATGTATACAACTACAAATTTAACAGCGAAATGAAAGTGCCGAAAATCGTCTTGTCGTTGAAAAAGGCATGGTAATTCCTGTTTAGCGATGGGGCCATGTTTATAAATAAGTAAATTTATAATATTTATGCTCTGTAGATTTGTATTGAGCACTGTGTTATAAAATAAAAATAGTATTAAGAACACCAGATTATATATCTTACTTTTCTTTCTTTATTATAATATATATATATATATATATATATATATATATATATATATATATATATATATATTTAAACATTTCACCTCAAGCAAGGTGGAAGTGCTACTAGTACGCAATGGACTACAGAGAGTGTAACGGAAAAGACTGGGTATAGGTGGGTGTTGAGTAAAGGATAAAAAGAAGAACCGAGGAGGATAAAGACAAGAATGGGGATCAAAGCAACAGAAGATGTCGATTGACATTACACTTAAATTTTTGAAGATTATCGTTATCAGAGAAGCAAGAGGAAGGTTGTTCCACTATCGGGAAGCGCGAAAGAAGAAGCTGTTGGAGTAGAAGAGGCGGTAACTTTTAACTGTTTTGACAGTAAAAGAGTGGGACAGTAGTGCCAACCTAGTAGCACGCTTAAATCCACGCAGTCTCAGTACCAGTCAAAATAGCTCGTCAGAGCAGATACTATGAAAATATTTATAGAAAAGACAGAGGAAGGCTACATTACGTCGGTGAGAAAGTGGCTGATGTCGAGACCTCAACTCGGGACAGATCACATTGTATAACCGTCTTGGAATACCTCAAGATGAACGTCGGGTGCACCAGATCATATATGGCAACAGTATTCCTTGCAGGGACGAATGCTACGTTGCCAGGTCCACCCTGATCCGGGGTGGTAGCAACTGTTAGGGTCCCAGCTAGATACAAAGCCCAAGAACGACGGGATTATGGGGAATATATGCGGGAAGATAAGGGAGAGATACAGCTATTGACTCAGTGTAGTTGTTAGGTTACATTTAACTGTTTCGACAGTAACAGGGTGAGACCGAGATGCCAAGCTCTTAAATTAATGCATCAGTGAAGATACCTCGTCAGAGCAGTTGCCATGAAAACATTTCCAGAAAAGACAATGTGAAACCACATTACATCGGTGAGAAAGTGATTGGAGTCGAGATGCCAAATGAGGACCGATCACATAGCATATCCGTCTTTGGATTTTTTTGAGAACCTCATGATCTACAGTAGGGGTAGCACACCATATATGGCCACAGTATTCCATGCATTGACGATTGGTAGATTTGTAGATATGAAGGATGGATTCAGACGAGAAAACCTTCTGGAGCGACACAAAAAAACAACTTTCCTTGCAGTAGATTCAGCTATTGATTCAATATAGTTGTTCCACCTTAGGTCAGTGGAGAACGTGAGACCAAGAAGAAGCAGTGAAACGCACTTGTGGAGTTGAGCATCAACCATGATGATAGGAGGCAAGAATTTTTTTTTTCTGTGGTGAGTAAATGACAAGAGATTCGTTTTGGATGCATTAAAATTCCCATATCATTTTCTATGTTTATGAATATGTAAATATAAGCGTGGACACTGATATCAGTATCCCTTCATGGTTGTGCACTATCGAAGCCACAACTGATCGTTAAAATGTGCGTGATCGTACCGGCCTTGTTGAAAACTGTTGACCTTAGTAGAATATTTGATCAATCTCAGAAACTTTAAATAAAACCATTACAGAGTAGTTACAATTATAAAACATGGGTTTGGATTGTACGTGTTGAAAAAACACGAATGTGCCTGAGCAGACGACTGCAAAAAACATTACCTACTAGCCAAACTAGCAGACGGTTGTGTTTGGAAAAGAGTTGCCGGCCAATATCTATCTATCTATATATATATATATATATATATATATATATATATATATAAGAATACTACACCGAAAACATGTCAAAATCGCTACACAAGTGCAATCGTGTTTCGACGCGTATCAATGCATCTCACCAGGGGATTTTAAATTGCTGGCGAGTGAACGATTTATTAAGACTTAAAAGCAAAATACAAACTCTTTTCGATGTAATATCCTAAAATAAATATTGTTGCCTTACATTGTCTTGAGCCTTCTTTTAAATTAAATGTTACGAACGTTGGAATTGTACTCTATTGCTTGACTTATCTTATTTGAATATATATATATGTTTATTATGCAGTGTTATATTAGAACATGCATATACCCTCTACAATGTAGATCTTGTTTCAACATTAAAACCTGATGAAACGTTAAAATAATTTTTTTTAGCGTTGAAACGATATGCACAGTTTTGTAGTGGGTATCTGCATGTTCTAATGTTTCACTGCATAATAAACTACTGCTCATTGCTCTACTTTTGTATTAAGCCCTGATTTCAATTAATGTTTTGTACGCTGAAATATTACTCTTAGTTCTTTTTTACGTTTTATATATATATATATATATATATATATATATATATATATATATATATATATATATATATTCCCAAAAAATTTCGCTTGAAGATGGAACAGAAGCATACTTTAATTCAAATAATTATATTGAAGTTTTCGACTCTTGTTTTGAAAGGTGAGAACTCTTATGTAGCGTGTTGGAATCATATTTTTAAATAAATAATTTTATATATATATATACACAAATATAAAACACCAACCTTTTTCACTATCGCGGTTTCCACCAATTACTATTTCAGTAAATGCTCTGTTTATAATAAACAGTTTTAACTATATATACAGACGTGAAACCACTAGAAATATCGTAGAAAATACGTGTACCTTGAGAGGAAACGAACCCGTATCCTACACGGAACCGTATTTAACCTATCTTCTTATACCATTAGGCTAGAGAGGAAGCATCTAGTAGGGAGAATCAAATTACCGTTTTTAAACACAAATTTCAAATAATTTTTATCGAACGATCATATCTGCTCGAAGCGTTTCTTATACTTAAACAAATCAAATAATATATTTTGAAATCGATTAAGTCCGATAAATTTTTAATATATATATATATATATATATATATATATATATATATATATATAGTTTATGCAAATTTAGATATTCCGTATGGGTAGACCTGAGGAGGATGATATCCAGAGAGCTCAATGTAAAATTCAGAGCAGATATGTTTGAATAAAAGACAGTCCACGTTAAGATTCCATGTAATA